CTAAAAGCAACTTGTTAGACCGGTGTTTCAAGCACTGATACTCGTTCCGATTGCGATCCACTGAATTGCCCTAGGGGTTAGCTCCATGTCTTCTTTCGAGGGGAGAGGAAAACTTGTTAGAACTTCTCTGTTCTCCATAGCGAAAGCTACCTTCCTTGCTGTCTTTATTAGGCTTACTGACCTGGTTGCATATGCAAATTATTTCTTTGACTTCTAGAGTTTTTTTCATTGAAGTGTCATTAATGCTATAGCCGCTGGTTAGACATGATACTCTAAATATCGGCTTCTATATTCCCATCGTCTTTCTTAGATTTCCATTTCTTTCATAATTATTGTCAAATTTTATAATTCATGCTCGTGTGTTCAGATGCCGGAGGAACAAGCTTTCTCAGTATTAGTGCAATTGATGACGGAGTATCGGCTTCGTGAGATGTACAAACCCTGTATGACTGAGCTGGCTGTCTACATGCATCAGCTCGAAGGCCTTGTTTGTGACCAGCTACCTGATCTAGCGACTCATTTTACGGCTCATGGCTTCGCACCCAGTCTTTACGCCTCAGCTTGGTTTCTCACCCTCTTCTCGACCACCCTCTCCATTCAAATGGCTACTCGCGTAATGGATCTCTTCATTTCAGAGGTAGGCTATCTCTAAATACGAGTTATGTTACTTAAATGCACACCAACCCTTTTTTAGGTATCTCTTTTATGGAATAAGAAAATTGGTTCAAAGGATGCCAGAAATATTTGACACAGTTATCACTGTTAAGAAGTATCTTGCCGATAGGCAATAGTAGGAATGATTACAAGATTGAACAATTAAAGTTTTCTCACTGTTCTCATTATACTCTAATGTTGATTCAAATGCCATACATGTTAAATTTTTTATATAAAACTCTTGTCTGCCTTTTTCACGGCATATATGATGTTAAAAGTGACCTCCCGTTTTTTCCCTCTTTTGTTTAGTTCTGTCCAAATATCTTTTCGTTATGCTTTGTAACTTACTATTCAAAAAGTCTGTATATTTTTCGGTATATTTTAGCAGTTGAATATTCTTTCCCCATTTGTGATGCATTTGATCGGTGGGAATTTTGCTTGTAAGCGTTGGGGGTTTTATAGGGATCTTTATTTGCCATACTCTGAGCACACACTATGGCAACTCCATCCATTTATCTAAGGTATTTCTATATATTTTTGGCATAAAGTTCCAGCCTTTGTGGCATAAAACTATTTGGCCTCCAACCATGTGCAGATAATGATTCAATATGTGTTTTCGATTTGTTAATTAAAAAGGACTAAATGTAGCTCGATTATGGGTGGTGCCTTTTTCATTTAAAATGTTTGTTGTTTTCAAAAAATTCTTCTTATTTGGTAAAAGAGTGATCAAAAAGGGTTCTTGCATTTGTTCCGAAAATATAAGCAAACAAAATCTCCGTGGACGTCCCACAAGGCTTTACATGATAAGACTAACCGATGGAGAAATCATACCCATTTTCACATCTTCATTCGCTCTATCTACTTCAATCAACTTAAAATCTGTCTGCTAATGAGCTGACACTGATGGCTGCTGTGCGTCATTATCCCAGACTCAATTTGTTCGGCTGTCTTGAAACATATTCACACCAGCAATTATAGCCTCTGGGCCTATAGCTCATCTTTACTCAATAATATTTTTGAATATGATGGTTTTATATCTCTCCTGCTAGTCTACACTTCTTAAATTCTCATTTATCATTATATGTAATCTATTTTTGTAACGAATTAAAATAAAATTGTATTCTTCATATTTTTTAGGAATGCTCAATGTTAAAATCTCGAATAGATGCATTCTGCTGTGATCCGTTTGAATCTTTATTTCTTTACCATTTAGGCTGTCGATATTTTATTCCACACACAATTATTTTTTGCCGTTTAATTTAAATTAGTTTCTTAAATCTAAAGCAGCCTTTCTCATATCGTTTATTAAATCATATATGGTGATTTAATACAATTAATTTATCACTGAAGATGAAAGATTCCAAACCCATCATACAATCTAGATGAGAACGACTTTCTAAAATCCATGTCATAATGAATTTCAATATGACTTTGGCATTTTTCTTCTTTCCTTCTACTTTATGGCCTTTCATTTTGAGTAATTGGGAGGAACTATTAGAGGATCTTTTCTATAGACGATAATCACCTCATGCTTTCTTCCTCATTGTCCTTTCACCATCGGATCGCTAACCAACCCACTTCTCATACACTACGGCGGAATTTTAGTCTACATCGGCAGCGATGCCAATGACTACATGGGATCATAAAAATGACGCTAGGGCCCAATCTATTTCTTTAAGATGAAATAAGTGTGAATTAACAAGGATATGAGATGATACTTGAATATTTAGGATTAAATGTCTGTCAAGTGATTAACCAGAGCGAGGCAATTGTAATAAAATTCGTTTAATAGTGTATTATATGAAAATGCGAAGAAGTGGGCCAGGGTTTTGACGCTAGGTTTTTATAAAGTTGTTGCTTTGAGTGATCCAATGATTTAAGTTCCCACTTGGCCCATATTAACGCTTAGATTATGTTGCTCACCACTGAATAAGCCTGACTCTTTAATGTTGGTTCGACCTTGTCTTCGCAACTTAGTCAGATTAGTCAAGGGGATTGCCTTCACTTGTCACTTTGATAAGTTGTAATTCTGTGCCTACGATGATGTATCTCACTAAAGATGTCAGCGAACTGTTTGGGAATGCACCTAGCCAATGGTCCAATGCTGGAAATCACGAATACTAAGGCAGAGGACACGTGATGATGCTCCGACCAAGCTGCGAAAACAAGGTCGAACCAACACTATAAAGCTACAGGAGACT